GAGACAAGCCACGAGGATGGCCCAGACGAGCCAAGTGATGGAGAGACGGACTCGGAAGGATCCCAGGAAGAAGCCAATGTGCTGGGGGCTGATCTGCCCGGTGACACGGAGATCCTCAACAAAGGACAGCGCCGTCGCTTGCTAAAGGTGTCGGAGGTGGCGGAGAAGGAAGCCCACAACAAGATTCCAAGGGAGAAGATGAGCCGGCGGCGACCGGGACCTTGGCGGATCCTGGAGATCTTCACCTGCACGTGTGCCTTGACTCAGGTGGCATGCGATAAGGGGTGGAGCACGTATGAGCCGGTGACGCTGGATTCTGGTTGGGATCTGGAGAGCCCCGGCGTGCAGGAAAAGGCAGTCCGGTACCTGCAGGAGGTGGATCCGGATGTGGTGATGGTCGCATGGCCCTGTGGTCCTTGGTCGATCATGCAGAACGCCAACATGCGAACACCCCAGCAGCGAGAAGCCTTGCACCAGAGGAGGATGCAGTCCAGGAGGACCCTGCTACGGTTCACGCGGCGCGTGGTGCTGTGGCAGCGCAATCGGGGGCGTTTGGTTTTCGGGGAGAATCCAGCCAAGTCCAAAGCCTGGAAGACGCCCGAGATTGCGGAAGCCTTCAGCGGCGCTGGGCAGGTCGATTTTGACCAGTGCATGTTGGGTTTAAGGCACCCAACTACCAAATGCCCCATTCGGAATGAGGGGTGAGACGTCTGCCATGAGGTACCTGGCTCAGGCCCAGTGCGATGGAAGCCATCAACGTCAACACATCGAAGGTGGTTTCCGACAGGCCAATGGCAAGTGGATGTCATTGAGTGTCTGGGCTGGAGGGTATGGGCAGGCTCTATGCAAAGCCCTGCTGAGGGGTTGTGAGGAGTGGCTTCGAAGTTCTCACCAGATCATCGATGGCCATGAGGCCATAGAGGAGGAAGAAGAGCGTGATCTGGAAGATGATCTGGAGATGGAGATGGAACGGCATGGCGGTGGAGATGGTGAAGAGAGAGAACCGCCACTGGACTCAGACCTGGAGGAGGAGCCAGAAGAGGATGAGAGGCATTGGGAGGTGCAGAAGGTGGTGGAGTTCGCCCATAGACAGCTGGGACATCCATCGCGGTCCACTCTGGTGCGGATGATGAAGTTGAGTGGCGCAACATCAGATGCTATCCGCTATGCCAAGAAGTGGAAGTGTAGTGTTTGCATGGCTCGACAAATGCCAAAACACCCGCAGGCAACGACCGCCACCACCAGGCCCTACGGGTTCAACAAGACCCTCCACATCGATGTGAAGTATCTCTGGGACGCTAGGGGGAAGCGCTATGCGGCTTTGAGCATTCTGGATCTGGGCACTTGCAAACATGATGCGCACATGATCAAGACCCGCAGGAGTGACTACGTGGCATCCAAATTCTTGCGCAAGTGGATCCAGCCGTATGGCAGCCCAGAGTTGATCGTTCATGATCAAGGAGGAGAATTCGAAGGAGCTTTTGTGGGTCTCTTGGAGCAGTTCAGTGTAAGCTCCAAGGTGACAGGAGCTCATGCAGGATGGCAGTTGGGCGTCGGCGAACGCCATGGAGATCTGCTGGGCCAGGCCCTTCACAGCGTGGTGGCAGAGCACACCGTTGAGGGCTACGCGGCCATGAAGGAGGCACTGGGATGTGCCTGCATGGCGAAGAACGCCACTGTGACTCGAGATGGCTACACTCCGAACCAACGGCTGTTTGGGGTGGAGTGCACGTGGCCCAGCTTGACAGAGGAGAACCCTGGGCTGAGCTACTTGGAAGGTATGTCAACAGAGACAGAAGCAGCCCGAGCACATCGGATGAGGGTCACGGCCCGAGTGGCGCTCGTGCGTCAAGATGTGCAAGACAAGAAACCAGCAGTTTCCCAAGGACCCTTCATGCCAGGGAGCAGGGTCTACTTTTGGGTCCCGAGCCAGAGAGCTCGTTACAAGCCAGGCGGCACCTGGCGGGGTCCAGCGACGGTGGTAGTCAAGGAGGCCACCAAGAGGTATTTTATTTCTTGGAGGGGCAGGCTGCTGTTGCTGGCTTCCAAGGATGAGCTGGCACTCACTGAGCCAGTGAGGGAAGAGATTATTGATCTTCAAGGGGTGCTCCGGGATCCAGCGAGGAGCAACTCCTATCAGGACTTGCGTCGCTACGACCACCAGCAAGTAGACCAATCCGGAGAGGAAGCAGGCTCGGAGGATGTTGCGAGGCTCCAAGGCCGTTAGTCGGCTATTGAGACAGCGGGGCATCCATGCTCCACGTCTTTCAAGAAAACGGAAACTGGAGCCGCAGCCGGAAGCGAAGCCGGAGAAAGAAGAGGAGGTTGATGAGGAGTACACTCCGACAGAAGCCCCAGTTCCTCCTGAAGACCCTGGTGAAGAGGTCAAGGAGGATGAACCGATGGATGCAGAAGAGCCGGTGGAGCAAGTTTTGGAGCCCCATGAGATCCCAGTACCAGCAGATGACTGTGACTGGGAGGATGAGACAAGAAGAACCTGAACGTAGGAGGCAGCGCCTCATGGACGACGTGCCCATCTCCATCAAGCGGAAGTTGACGGAGGATGATGCAGGACTGCCAAACAAGAAGCCCAGGATCCATGCTTCGTGGATCGTACAGGCCATGACTGCGGCAGCTGCCAGTGGACCAGACAATGAGTGGGTCTCCAGGGAGGAGCTCGAAACTCTGAAGAAATTGACGGGTTTACCCTTGAGCGCGGCGCGCATACACAGGAAGCCCCGGAAGAGGCTGATGAGGCCACCAAAGGCCATTAGCAGGTCACGACTCTCCATCCTCATCGGGGAGGACCCCATGGATGCTTTCGTGGTGGACGAAGATGAGAGTGAGGTGGCTTTCTACTGGAAGGGGATGACCATGCTGTATAAGAGGCGTGGACGGAAGCCTCAAGCCACATATGTGCAACTGCCCACGGGGGTCTATAAGGCCTGTCTTGAACCGAAGGACAGGAGAGAGTTTGAGCAGTTGTGGGTGGAGGAGCTGAAGGATGTGTTGGTGAATGATGTGATGATCCTCAAGTTGAAACAAAATAGGAAAGAGCTCGACCCGCGATGTTTCAATGAGCAGGAGAAGAAAGCCTTCGACCTCAGCGATGCAAAAGAATGGGAACAGTGGTTGAACAATGAGGTCGTGCAGAAGGTGCTCCCGGCAGAGCTCAAGAAGGTGCCAAGGCACCAGATCTTCAAGGCGGCACCTCGCATGGTTCGCACGAACAAGGCAGCAGCAGCGACTCTGCCTTTGGTGGCCAAGTCCCGGCTTGTGGTGCCGGGTCATCGTGACCCAGACCTGGGTGGTTTTCGCACTGATGCTCCTACAGTGGGAGCCACGGCCACCAAGATCGCCAAGGCAATCGCTCAGGCGAGAGGATGGGTGCTCTGGTCTTTCGATGTCACAACGGCATTTTTGAGCGGTGAGCGCACCGATCGGGAGATCTATGTCAAAGCACCACCAGAAGGTCTTCCAAAGACCAAGCAAATGGAGGCAGTGACAGGCGGACAGCTCTTCCGTGTTTTGAAGTCGGCATATGGCCTGACGGAAGCACCACGCCTGTGGTACCTCAAAGCCTGCAAGCTGCTGGCTGAGACTCCTTTGAAGGAGCTGGATATCGCCAAAGCCACGTTCGCTGCATGGGACGGAAATGGTACGTGGGCCATCTTGTGTTTGCGCGTGGATGATGGGCTACTGATGGGATCAGCTACGGATCCAAGGTTTACAGCCCTCAAGGCGCAGATCAACAGCCTTTTCAACATCAAGGCATGGCAGAGCCTGCCACTTACGTTCCTGGGGGTGGACTTGCAGAGGAGTGGTGACATCCTCGTGGACTCCATGAAGAAGTACGTGGAGGAGATCCGCCTGCCAGAGATGTCAAAGGAGGCCCCTGAGAAGATCTTGGACGCTGCTGGCCTGACTAAGTTCCGGCAGTTGGTTATGAGGCTCAGGTGGCCGGCGCAACAGGTGATGCCTCACCTGCTCTACGAGATCAGCCGCTTGGCGCAGCGGGTGTCAGGAACCACCCACGGCGACTACCAGGACGCCGTGAAGGTCCACAAGCTCATGATCCAGGAGAAGGATGCTGGGCGAGCCGCCCTCAAGTATCCCAAGATCCCTGGAGAGCTGTGCCTGGTGACGTTCTTCGACGCGTCACTGGGAAAGGAGAAGGACGGCAAGTCCCAGCTGGGACAGATCCACTTCATCGCCAATACTGGTGTGGAGCATGGACCTCAGCCGGCAGCGGTGATCGACTTTGCAAGCTCCAAGTCGACCCGCGTGGTCCGCTCATCGATGGCAGCTGAGGCGGCATCAATGTCACAAGCCATTGACAGGCACCTCTACGCTCGGCTGCTTATGCAGATGCTGCAGCAGGGCAGCTTCAAGCTGAGCGAGGACTGGCGGAAGGACCTAACGGTCCAAGGCTACATGGTGACAGATGCCCGGTCGCTCTATGACCACCTCGGGACCACCGGCCAGGTGCCGTCCGAGCGGCAGACGATGCTTGACCTGATGGTCACGCGGGAGATGCTGGAGGCGAGCACCTTCCACTTGAAGTGGGTGCCAACCTACCGGCAATATGCCGATGGGCTGACAAAGCGGATGGCGAATCCGCTATGGAATGAGTTCTCCGAAAAGGGGATGCTCTCCCTAAAGGAGACGGCGCAAGAGGCCACTACGGAGCGACGCCGGCGAGAGCTCCGGAGGGCCCAGCGGGAAAGGCGCAAGAAGCGCTTTGAGGATGGCCGCGCCACCTCCACAGCCTCGCTGCGACAGGTCAACACAATCCTTGTGGGATGAGAGTGACAACCTTCGGTGTCATGCGCTTTGACCTGTCTCGCTCGCAGCTTGGCCCAAGCACAGCTTTCACTTGCAGCGCAAAAAGGTGTTGCACGCAGCGCGTTTTTACACGTGGCGCGTTTGCTCGCGCTAGCTACCACGTGCTACTCCGCAGGAACAACGAGAGCATGTTCTCCCAACTTGATCTCTTTTCCATGCGAGTTTTTGGGTGGAACGAAATACTCAACGAGTGCACCATCCATGATTTGGGTTCCATTGGTGCACGGCCCCCTTACATTTACAATCGTTTACATGTCCCACGGACCGTCCCGGAACCCAGGGTGGTGGAACTCTTCGTCACTGGCCGGATTTGCCTCTTCGGAGAGCACTCGGATTGGGCTGGTGGCAACTCGGTGGCAGCTTGTGCCGTGGACCCAGTTCTAGATGCTCCCGATCAACCTACGAACCCTAGAGTCTACTCAATGTGGCTGTGTGCCCTTGCCCAGCCCAAGAGGTCCCATGATATACATAGGGAGAACATGTGGCTTTGGGTTTTGCCCCCTCCACTCTTCGATGATTTTGATAGTTTCTTTCACTTTGTCTGACTTTGTCTCTTACCTTTCGGTGCCCAGGCTACCGGCGCTTCAACTCGGAGGTGGCTCCGGGCTGCGCACTGGTTTGTGGCACGGACCAAGGCAAGGAGCAGCAAACACTGACCAAACAGTCGCTTCAGGTGGACGGTGAGCTATGGAGCCGAGGAAAGCTCCACCATGCCTGAGTATGTTTCCACGTAAACTCACATGGGCTGATGTTTGCTTTTCTGTCCAAACACTTCAATGTTAACTTTTTCTGGGAGTCTGTTTTGTAGGCCTCCTAGAGTATGCCCCCCAAACTATTGCTGCAGAAAGACATCCATACTTTCCGCAGCAGCCACATGCCAAAGCCTCCAGCGGCAGGCCTCTATGCCCGTGCACGGAAGATTTCAGGAGACAGCAGGATCTTGCCCCGTGGCGACAATCCTCTTGATGGAGACACTGGCTTTAGAGCAAGATTGATAGACAATCAATCCATGCTAGGGTTTGGGGAACTCCTGGACTTAGATAGGAGGTGTCTGTGCCCTTCCTCACCTTCCTCCCCCCATCGAAGCTTGACCGCCCGTCACCAAAGGGCTTTTACTTGCCTGCTGCCATGGGATGCAATCCAGTATTGTGTAAGCACCAAATTGCTCAGCTTGCCACCCTTGTGGAAGGTGAAGCTTCCAGTTCAGAAAGGATTATCAACTAGAAGTTATGTCTATGTCGTACCAAGCCATGAGTATACGATGCTATACGGTATAGTGGAATGAAAGCACACCTTTGAGGCGCTACACCTCCTCGGACGATCAATGTGTGGAGCTAGACCTGGACGATCTAAGCGGTCTTCGGCAGATGGCCCAGTCGCCATCGGTCTTCGCTTACATTGCAGGCCTCTTGGCAAGCATGGATTTGTCCCAAGGCAAAGCTAAGACTCCGTCAAGGTTGTCAATGCCCAGCTTGGAGATAGCATTGACATGTTTGGATGGACGATAATCAGAGCAATATTATTTGCTTCCGGAGAGGGTGCCTGGACTCGCTGCGGCATTCTATTGTTGTTTGTGACCTGCTCTCTCTCTCTCTCTACAAAAACACAACAGCAGCGATGTCTTCACATCCCCCGGTAGAAAGCCCCTGTGGCCAGTGGCCAGTGGCCTTCCTCCAAAATCAGTTGGGGTCAATCCAGTTTCGATAGAAAGATTTGGTGGTCGGTACATGTTATATTGATACCAGCATCAGACAGAGGTTTTGGAACATCCCTCGGTTCTTTTTTTCTCTTTGTCGGGATGATTTCGGTTTCGTCTCTATTGGCCGGACCGGATCTTCTATGTTGCTGGTCCATCCCAACAGTTTTCGTAAGGAATGGAGCCCTCCTAAGAAAGCGGATGGTGCCCTTGACTAGTTTCAAGGTCCCGAGCCAAGTTGGGAAATGCCGTCAGTTGGTCTTTGGAACTCCCAGGTTGCGTCCTGGAGTTGGGAAAGCACTTCCGCGTGGGCGGGGCTGACATTGTCAACTACAAGTCGGACCTTCCGATCAAGCCCCTCGGCAGATGGTCGATGGTTTTGCAGATTGGAGGCCAAGAGCACACCATCTTGCAGCGATCACATCGATGTATCTGATGGGGGACCATAGATCCTTCCTTTTTTTGTTCTAGACAGGCTTGTTGAAATCATCCGCAGAAGCACCAGTGGCTTTCCGTCATCTTGCATGCATATGTAACCCATGGGGAGGGGCCTTCAACTCAATCTCCAGGATTATTGGGTAGTCTTATTTCTAGCGAATACGGTCTTGCAATGGCAGGGTGAACACATCGACACCAAATCACCAGCAACTGTGCGAATTTTGCGGGGAGCGCAAAAGCATTGAATGTTGAACCGGTCAGGACGTCTGGATGTGTGAAGACAAACTGACAATAGGTAGCCCCAACCCTGCTCACCTGTATTAGTGGATGGATGTCGCGCTTTTGGGAAATCTAGGGCCCAGCAGCCATTCTACAGATGCGTGTTGTAAGAACCTTTTCATACCCGTTCTGCGAGGTCCAGTATTCACAGGATGCAACATCAAGTTTCGGGTTTGAGGGCTGATATGATTGCGCTAATTAAATCTTTCTACCTGCACTAGCAGCTGCAGTGGGAGGGCAGCTATCCAAGGAAGGGCCTGTCTTCATCGGCAGCAATTTGTGTTTTGATTGTGCGTGCACTCAACAAGTTGTACGTGCCTTGGATCAACTCTGTCGTGACACAATGCTCAAGAAGAAGAGCTAGAAGTTTAGTTCGGTGGGCACTGGATACTCAAAATAGCTATGATTTGCGTCTTGTGACACCCACAGGAGCTTGGACACATGCTAGCTGCTATAGCAAAGTCCGGAATCAGTTGCCTATGAGGATCCTTCAGCATGTGCATCCAAACAGGGCCCGCATGCAGATGTTTTTGTGTCCCAAATAGAGGAGCAAAAGACTACACGTATATAATTCGTTCCCTTTTTGAGTCAAAGGAGTCCTCTACAGGGCTATGTTCTGTCAGTTTTTTTGATTCAGTTCTTCTTTCTTTTTAAACTATTTTTTCTTCTTCTTCTTCTTCTTTGGTTCTCCCCGTCGCCGTCCTACCATGAGGACTTAAAGCTCACCGTGCACGGGGAGATGGACATCGCTTACCGCGGGGAGATCCAGACGCCCTCCCGCTGCGGACGGATGGACCAATGCGTGGCCTTTGGGCGCGCAGCCTGGGGACCTGGTTGTCTTGTAGGTCCAGAGCTGTCTGAAAGCTTGCCTCATGATACTACACGATGAGGAACGTGAGGGCAGTTTAAGCTTGGCAAACCTTTTTTTTTTAAAGACACATCATCGAATCACTTGAAGTTCATGGAGTCAGAAGCTCCCTCAGGTCACGAAGATGAGCTTTGACTCTGACTTGTTGTCCACAGAGTCGGTGAGGGCTGCGTCCACCATCTACATGGTGGTGGTGGACCTTTGTGCCAAAAAGGACAGAACACTCCCTAAGAGCGCCCAAGCTGGGGAATCCACTGCTCAAAGACCGCCTGCAATGGCGACAGCAGTGTGACACAAGTTGGTAGTGATTCACGTTGCAGATGCTGGATGGCCACTGAGCAAGGATATTTCAAGAGGAAGAACGTGTTCTCTTTTTTGACATCATATAACGTCTATGTGGATCAGCTGCGGTCGATTTAAGAAGTCTATTTTGCGTCGTCAGTGTGGGCAGTAAGTTATCATCCTCTTTTAAACTTTATAACAAGTAAACAACTTTGGAGGAAGGACATTCGACTGTGTGAGGTGACACAAGGCGTCTAGCAGGATTCTATGCGGAAAGAGTTGTCAATTTGGAACCTTCAAGAAGAAACACAATTGTCCTAGTGGTGCCAAGCGGATATACCGCTTGAAACTTGAAACCAACAATCATTTGAGTGCTTTCAGAAAAAAGGTGCTTGGTGATAGAGACGTGGGAGCAGGGATCTCTGCAGTTTTGTTCGACGGGGAAGGACACCAAAGAGATCCTCAAGTGTTTGAACGAGGCTGGATACTCAGCAGAGGCTCAGGGAGGTTACCATGGTTGCCATGCACAGGACAACTGTGGCCCAGTACCTTGGTGTTGGAAGACTTTGGCTTTGGCTTCAATGCTGGTTAGGAGAGAGGTCCGTCTCAGTGGTTAAGGAGAGAGGTCTGGACCTGGGGTGTCTCGGGGTATTTTCTGAAAGCCCCACTTTTGGGATGATAGTCAGTAGCGTTCCCTCGAGGAACCTACAATTTCAGCGTGGGCTAGAAACCTCATTTATGCGTAAACTGGCTTGGAGGGCAACCCACTTCGAAACCTGAGTACAGTCGGGAGGATTGGTCATATGGGCTCATTATGGCATTATGGGTCATTCGCACGCAGGCACCACCTCCTTTGTTGCGATCTTGGTCAACCAATGGGCTAGTCATCCAAAGTAAACAACACTCTTCTCCGCGGGATGACCGGCGAGAGGCATACCCTTTCCCTCGCCACGATGCAGACAAAGCATTGCATGCGTTGCTTGGAGAGATGAACCAACAAGTATGTCACCTGGTGGCAGATGCAAGATGACAGCCATTGTCAGACTGCACTACTTTCCCTACTTCTCCACCGAACTGTGTCTATTCTGGTTCGGGGAGGCACAATAGCCATATAACAACAAGTGTACTTTGCAGTCTTCTCCGAAATAAGCACTTGCTGTGAATGTTTTGGCTGCTTCCTTGATGGGCATGTGCATGAATATCTGGGGATAAAACAGACAAGATTATATTTCATGACTCCCGTCGCTTCTGAACACCGGACACGTAACCTGCACTTTGGATTGTAACTTCCTCATGGCAGCTAGACTAGCCAGCATCTAGATGATCCACAGTTGTACTTCTTGTCCTCTTCTGATTTTCTCGGTGAACTTCAGGCGAGGAAGCTCAAGAAATTCTTGGCGAGCGAGATGAACGCTGCGCTGCCGAGCGCCTTGGCCAGGCGCAGTTCAGTCTGGAAGTCTTGTCCACAAGCGGGTGAAGATAAGACTAAGGTTGAACCACCATCTCACAATCCAGAGGCTTAAAACGGCTCTGTAGGCTACAGATGAACACTCTGTTATGTACACATACTGTAAATCACATATTACGATATATTACTATATATTACTATATATTACTATAGATATACATAAAGATCAACCACACATCCAGCCAAACCTGCACGAAATTTGATCTTCTATATATAACTATATTTATATATAAGACGAGTGCAGAAACTAGGTCCTGAGACCAGCGGGGGTGCCCAAGTGTGACAATTGGAGGAATGAGCAAAGCACGAACATCATGCTTGAGGGCATCCCTCGATATAAGTTATGAATGAGCTCACTGGTCGCTGGGGAGATAATGCAATAATTAGTTCATTTGTCACCATTGTTATTTTGGCTGAGTGTACTTCAAAATGATGGATTCAAAAAACACATTTGCTCGACCAAGCTAGTGAAGTTCTGCAGGCCATGAGCAAGGCCCAGGCCCGCTGGGATCAGATTGCTGTACCACTTTGCCCTCATGAATTGAAGGCAATGGGGCTGGACCTGGACCAGTGAAAGAAACGATCTTGCGGTTCCATCCAGCCGAGATGTCCGAATAAACTGGTGCAAACCTATCTAAAAGGAAGCAGGTGAGGCCACAAGGCAAATGACTTGAAGAGAGAACTGACCAATGAGTTGTGGATCATGAAATCGAAGTTGGCAATCAAATGAAGGAGCATCTCCCAAACTTCCCCCAATCCTGAAAGCTATTGTGCTTGACTTGGAAAGCGGCAACGGGGTCACCACTCCGAAGCTTTAATCTTGCATGAACTTTTCATGCCTTTTGAGCGTTCTTTTCCACTCTGGGTCACCTACTGACCACGCCTTGATGGCCACTTTGCTTGGCAGACGCCTGGATGCTATGTCTGATTCCCTCATTGTACTGTCTACAGGTTCGAGCATGACTTCTACTTGCCCAACCCCAAAACGCTAGAAATCTTGGTGACACCTGTTCATTCGGATCCTTGACAAGGAACCTCCTCAGCTTCACAGAGGATGAACGGTCAAAGTAGTCAGGTTGTATATGGCTGCGTTCTTGTTACTAGTAAGAATGCTCCTAGTAGCGATGCCAGGAGCCACTAATAGCCTTGTTACTAGTAGGGATGCCCTTTGTTCCTAGTAGCGTTCTTGTTACTGGTAGTAAGGCCAGGAGCCCCTAGTAGCGTCCTTGCTCCGTTCGTAGCGATGCCGCCCGGCCGACTGAGGCTCCGTCCTTACACCGCCTCTTAGAACATCCGCAGCTCCAAGCGCACATCACCGGTGGCAAAGGTGTGTTTTGGAGTGCAAAAGGGAAAGGTTTTGGGACTAAGGAAAGGATTTTGTTGGTAGGTAGGGAACACGTCCAAAACTTACAAGACATAACCCACGTAAACGTTCGTTCTCAGTTTGAGTTCTCTGAGGCTCCTGACACTGAAACTGACAAGTACAGAGATGTAAGGCAGTTTCAGTGATGGACATTGCGCAGGCTTTTCTTTTTTCCAAGGTTGGATCGCAGGGCGATGGCAGTGCGCAGCTGGTGTGCAAGTCCGCCGCCGACCAGGCAGGGCCAGTGCCAGCTTCCATAGTACTTCCACGGGAAGGAAACCTCAGGGAAGAAGTTGGAAAGTTATTTCCTCTGACAATACTTCAAGCAGTGAGTTTCCAACATTGGATGAGTTTGGACATGAGATGAATATGACTAAGTAGCACGCCAGCTGTGCACCGAGTGAGGAAGAGGCTGTGAAGATCGTGAAGTCCTTGAACATGGAGCCCCTGAAGCTCACCATCCCAAAGCGGGGCCCCCGGAGTTGGGCAGCATGCAGACCAGAACAGGGTGTTGGTGTGTGATGGTGCTTTGTTTTGCATGGAAACCACGTGCAACATTGTGCAATTTGAAAGCAGAACGCCTGTATGGGGAGGTACCATGCTCTCCTCCAGAGTCATTTCTATCCAATTTGATGCCCAGTGACAGCGGAATTAATGGTTGAGCTTTTGTACGTCCTAGAATATGTGACAATATTAGTTGGACATCAGCAAACTGCTGGAGGACTGGTGGAGTCATGTTTCTGGAGTACCCTCGTTCTTTATGTGAGGAATTGGTTGGACAAGACTCTCGCAGTGCAATTACTGGTCGCCCCAGGCAAAAGGCGGTGCGAACCGCCATTGTGCCTATTGCAGGCAAACTTCGGATTGCGGGGGGGGAACAGTTTTGCTACCTTTGTTACTAGTAGCTTCTTGTTACTCAGGAGCTACTAGTAGATACTAGTAGCTTCTTGCTATTAGTAGCGATGCGGCGATGCCCATTGTTATTGCTAGTAGATGTAGTAGGCACCTCTGCGTAATCATGAAAGGATGACGTCCCTCGACCAGACTGTGTAATTCGCACTTCTCTCTTCGGGATTTTGAAGCTTTCTTCTTTACATTTCAGCTGTCTTGAATTTTCTTTGCTTCTCCTCTATCAAGACAAGATTTTATGCTTATTTGGAAGACATTGGACTTTAAGCGTGAATGAAACAGGGATTCAGCAAGGGTTTGTATCCTATTCCAGGGACGATCTGCGTCGGATTACTGGTATGGCACCGCCACTTGATCCCAGGAAGCTGGGCCAAAGCAATGCTAGTCCGAAGCAACGCGTTGGGGGGAATTCGGATTAGTGCTTTGGTAGGTGCTTGCAGTGGCATGTGGCCTGCAACAAAGTGTGTGGGACCCTGGCTCTTCCCGGTGAGAAAGCAGCGCATGGTGAAGCCAGCCATCGCATGGTGTGGAGCCCCAGGTGAATCATAGCTCTTGGGCACAAAGAGGATCGCACATGAGGGATATTGAAGGGTTTCAGCACAGACTGCATTGGCCTCGACTGGATTCCTTGTGCGAAGCTTGACAGGTGTTGCCACAAGTTGCATAGTCGGGTTTCCTCCGATGTAAGAACGTGCTAGGATGGGGATGAGGCATGGCTTGTATGGAGAGACCGGAGTTCGATGTCTCTTCCCCTTCGGGGACGATGGACGACTTCCTGGACCAGCTGTATTTTTTCTGCTTTGGTCTGAGGTCTCTCGTAGAACCCATTCGGGCCTGTCGACCTCTGTGGTGATTATGACTGTTATTGTTATTGTAACTACTTGTATATTTTGCCTTCCCGTCAGGCTCTGCGAAGAACTGGTTGAAGCAGGTCTTGTCACTTGTATGCACAGTCGAGTTGAGATGTCGTGCCGTACAGCCTTACCGCCTGGCACTCGATTCGCTTCTTTTCTTTTCCCGGCCGAGGAAAGAATTCTCCTAGTGGTGAACCAAACCACTGAAATGGAGATGACAAGACTCTTCAAACAGCGAGAGGAGGCCCATGGCTTTCAGCAGTTGCAGGTTAAATGATGCTGAGAAAGTTTTGAAAGCGTTCAGCTCTCACTTATTCTGTGGGGTCCAATTGTAGTTGCAAAGGGATCCTTTAATTTTGCTGCATAGGTCTTTGGGGTTGTGTTCGTAGGCCCTTGCAACCACCTTCCAACTTGCCCTTCCTTGAACAGAGCACAATGGGCCAATGGGTCTTAGTGATTCTCAGCGTTGGCTCTTTCCTCATGGGTGCGAGACAAACTCTACCCAGTGTACTCATGTACTCTGTCAGCGCACCCAGTGTGGCCAGGTGTGTTGGGAGTACAGTAGTGGTTTGGAGGGAGTCCTGGTTTACAGTACTGTCTCAAAGTGGAAAGACCTTTCGGCCTTTCGGATCTCTTCCATCCCCGTTGGTGTTCTTTTGGTTCAGAGGTGGCCGTGCTGGATTCGGCCTCACAGCACGTGGATGGCTATGATGAGGTGCTCCTCGCCATAGGCTATGGGTGGGAGTTCTTGGTGTTAACTTCAGGGATGGTCATTTTGGCAACCTTGTTTGGAGGACGATTCAATAACATTCGCACAGAGGTGTCCTTGACACAAAGGACAGCAATGACCTCAACACAAACTCAACCAAATCCCTAGCAGCAGGCTGAAACAATGCAAGCTTACGTGTTCTTTTGTTTTATTGTACCGTTCTTTCGTTGATTCTGGTATCATAAACCCACCGGTAGATGACCTGGTGAGGCGAGAAGATTACTTTTGTGCGCCAAGAGAAGCCGTCAAGCATCCGGGATGCCTTGCTGCTTTGTGAGCGTGAGGCTGTGGTGGCAGTGTGGTCGCAGTGTGGGCACCTGCCCAGGTAGAGAAGCTGCCGTTTCTGTGATGGCCTCCAACCTAATTGGCGAAGGCCTCTCTCGGAACCACAAGGACCCATGCATTCATAGACAATGGGTCAAACATGGGTACCCACGGGTACCTAGCTTCTCGATACTTCGACATTCTTCCACCAAAGGTGCGGGTGCGGGGCCACCAGTGATCACCAAACCGCGGATGTTCGGTTTGGATCACTTTCGTTCTGCGGAGGTTGAAGGGGAGGCCTTCCTCTTAGCCTGGGGTGACCATTTCTGTCGGTCCACCTCTCAGGACCTGATGGACGGACGGGATTGGATAGCCGTCGACATCGTCAGGGGTCGCACCAGACGCTTCAAACGATGGGGGGGACCAGCACAGCGGATCATTGATGATCATGGGGCTGTACATAGGGGTTACAGGCTTTGACCCAGTTATTGTCTTTCAGTTTGTGTTCTGTGCTGACTGGTTCCCACTGCTCCAGTTTGTGAGCTAAATCAATTCTTGAGAGCTGGTTGACAGTCACAGAGTGGCCATTCTCATTCATTCGCGAAGTTGAGATATGTAACAAGTTTATGTTCGAGCGTCGTGCCCAAGACTCACCTGCAATCTTTCAAGTCAGGTGGATGTAGGTCTCATTTTTGGGATTTGTTTCAGTTTTGGACCCAGCTTGACCTTTCATATCTGACACTATCTTGTTGCAATTGTAATATATACATATTTATACATATCTGATTTTGATTGTTGACTACTCAATCATTCTTTAGACATTGAGTCTCAACATCTACTGTATATCCATCAGGAATAGGCTAAACTCTCATCTCACAAGTCTTTGTTGACAGCGTGGTGCCGGTTTGTTCATTCAACTGTCTTGGGCTTCTTTATGTGGTGACAACATCACGCATGGCAATGGAGTCACGTGGTTTGTGCACTTCAGTGTGACGCTGAATTGGATGGCTTTGCCAGCCGCCTCATGCTTGCAAGAGATATAGTAAAAGATCGTGATACTTAGTGCGGCTCTTTTCATTCCTTTATTGGGCTTGTTGGATTTCATGTTGGGCTCGATACACACAGGGTGCATTATGTCTTAGGATGCATCCTTACTTTGCGATTCGATGTGTCTTCGGCCAGGAGGGGCTGAGCTGTGTGGAGCAGCTGCTCAAAGCCTTTGCTGGGCGTTCCGTGGCAAACTGGGCTGCACTAGTGAAACACGCCCGGGCTGGTCAATCGACTCGCAACACTGAACACTTGTAGATTGAATCAAATGTAAGAATTCGGTAGTCACAGATGGCCCTTACAATCAGAATTGTGGATTCAACACTGACGGAGAGATGGACAACCAAGGTTGGCATGCACTGTGTAGACAAAGATGAGCTCCATTCTACTGGTGTCTATGCCTGCAAGGCCTGTGTTTTCATGCACTGCAGATGCCTTCCTCAGGGGGGTTGGCCGTGCAATCTGAGATTGCAAGTTGAAGTTGGAAACTGGAATAGTGAATAGTGGCCCGAGTGCATGCGTCTTGCAGCCACTAATGCTGGCAAGTTATTGCACGGTTGAACATCGAATCAGACCGCCTCAGAGATCCCAGGTAGAGCAGTTTTTTGAGTCAAGGTTTCAAGTTGTCAACTGCTTGGTCTTTAAACAACAGAGATGAACAGAGCCTTGCCTCTCTCCTTTTCGACCTTTCAAGATCGACACAAGCTGTGCGACGACAGGAGCCCCCAACGCCCTTGCCACCACCCCTGGGTCCGCCACAAAGCGCTCCAGCCTTGTGGCCGTGGCCTGGCGAAACGGGGCAATTCATGGCAATTCTAGGGGATCGCCTCGATGTTGTCAGTTAGTGAAGTGATTCTATTGATTTTGGTATCATTTTATTCGCATGTGGGTGTTGCCGACTGGACCCCCCCTCAATGGTCGCCGTTCGACGGGGCTGGACTATCACTGGTACAGAATCCGTGTCCGTCCAGGGCATGTGCCCAGTAGGCGCCCGCCGTTGCGGCCATGCCTTCGGCGGGGCCCATGACCATCGCCCAGATCATGGGGTACTTCCATTCGTCGAAGCGACGGCGCCATGACTTTGTCCGCGCCATAGCTTTGCAACCATAAGGCACAACCTGGTCCTAGAGCTCGCAGCTGGCCTCGGCGTCTCTCTTCCGCCGCATGGCGTAGTGCAGTTGGCCAGTCGCGGACTGTCAGTCCAGCTGCCACGAGTGGCATTCTTGAGAACTCCCGCTACAATTTCTGCACGTGAATTCGCAGTGGCCTCGTCGCCTGCCGTGTAGCAATGCTCCAAGTCTCTTGTAGCAGTCCACTCACGAAATCGCTTGGACACAAACTCCTTCGCTCTGTCCGTTTTCAAGTGAAGCACGAAGCTTGTAGGGCACGATGCCGAGCAGACAGTTTTGAAGTAGCAGCAATCACCGTCGCCTCTTTCCGATTGAGCAAGGGTGTCGCCAAGGTCAGATGACGGCTCAAGCAGTGCCTTGCCCGCATCTTCTGGAGTCCCCTTGCAAGGATTGGGTTCTTGGTCTTCCGGCATCAGCTCCAGCCGATTTTGGAACGTGTGCTCTGCACCTTCTTCCACGGTCTCATCGGGTCACCACCCCCAGATCAGCGGTCTGTCGTGTCGGACTGGTACTGTGACTGTCGCCGCCACGAAATAAATAGCGGAGTTGTCATGTCCTGATCACAGCCAGGTGCGAAAGGACCCGCCACATCAACTGCCATGACGAAGGCACTCGGGTGGTCTTGCCTCAGCCTGGGACGATCCTGGCCTGCACCCCTCAAGCACTGTGTGGCACATGATCATTGAGGATGTGCTGATACCTCCCCCAGTTGCTATTGTCTCTCACTGTCTGCAGTGAGTTTTCGTGAATCGATGATCTCGGACTTGAGTGACTGAGGCAGCGATGCAAGCAAGAGGCTCGTGACTCGCCCCTCCAACCGTGACGCATTGTGTTTGACTGGGATCTGAACGGACAGCCGTGCAAGTGGATCTGATGCTAGTCAAGTGCTGTAGGTGTCGCCGACTTCTCGCATCAATTCCTCCCATCATTTGCCAGCTCCCGCACTCACGTCCTGTATCAAAGGTGTCCTCTGCGACCCAATCGCCGCAACGTAGAGCTGCTTATGTGAGCCCTCCTCTGGAAGTCATCCCTTCCATCCTCCACCAGCATGCCTTCCTTCCTTGGCTGCTGTCTGGGAAGTGGTTTCTGGGGGCTGGTTTCTGGGAAGTGGTTTCTGGGGAGTGGTTTCTGGGAATGGTTTCTGGGAACTGGTTTCTGGGAAGTGGCTTCTGGGGAGTGGTTTCTGGGAAGTGGTTTCTGGGGACTGGTTTCTGGGGAC